CATGGACAGAATTTCTATGCACAGCTAAGGTGTTGAGGGGATCTGTTTTGGTGGCCTTAGGATCGCATCTCTGCTCTTTGCAGATTATGTGGTCCTACTGGCTTCATCAGGTTGTAATCTGCAACTTTCGCTGGAGTGGTTCGCAGTCGAGTGTGAAGCGACCGGGATGAGGATCAGTGCCTCCAAATTCGAGGCCATGGTCTGGAGCCAGAAAAGGGTAGAGTGCTTTCTCAGGGTCAGGGGAGATGTCGTGCCTCAAGTGGAAGAGTTTTAAGTATCTCAGGATCTTGGTCACGAATGAGGGAGAAATGGAACGGGAGATCGACAGATGGATTGTCAAGTCTGCAGCGAAGTAGGCGCTGTACCGGTCTGTTGTGGTGAAGAGACAGCCGAGTCAAAAAGCGAAGCTCTCGATTTATCGGTTGATCGTGAGCTTTGGGTCATGACCGAAATAACAAGCTCACGAATACAAGAGGCCAAAATGAGTTTTTTCTGTAGGGTGTCTGGGCTCTCCCTTAGAGATAGGGTGAGAAGCTCAGTCATCTGGAAGGGACTCAGAATAGAGCCGCTACTCCTTTACGTCAAGAGGAGTCAGTTGACATCTGGTCAGGATGCCTCCTGGATACCTCCCTGGTGAGGTTTCCCACCGGGAAAAGACCCCGGAACAGACCCAGGACACGCTGGAGGGACTATGTTTCTCGGCTGGGCTGGGAACGCCTTGGGATTCCCCCAAAGGAGCTGGTAGAGGGAAGTCTGGGCCTCACTACTTAGGCTGCTACCCCCACGACCCAACCCAACCCAAGCAGAAGAAGATGGATGAATGGATGGATGGATAGTTTGGTGCTCTCTGGCATGTTGCTTGAGCACAGAGTCTGAAAGGCGCTTTGCTGGTTTTTATTTTAGTCTGTTATTTAGTAGTAACATTGATGTTGATGAGACGTTCTCCAAACTGAGAAACTTTTTTAACCTGCATAGCTATGCTTTGGAAAATGAGGAGCTAAATTTCATACGTAACATTGAAGTAAAATCCTGTCCAACATCTGGCTTGAGGTGTCACCTCTGGAATCTGTAGTTGGAGAAAAAATATTCCAACTTCAGAAGATGTGCTTTTTGGTTCCTCTTGTCAGTCTGCAATTTCTCATATTGAGGTCCTGAAACCAAATTTCAGATCAACTATAACTGACAGACACCTGGTGTCTTCAGCTTTGCAACTAGCTTATGACTGAGAAACTAGCAACCTCCTTCCAGTGTCAGAATCTCACTGAGGAAGAAAGTGCATTAGATTTTCTATCAGTTTATAATTATTAATAAAATAAGTCAATAGAGTTTCATTTACAATTTTTATATCTTTGTCATGTGGTACATCTCAGCTGGCTGGTGAGAGAAAAAGTACATTTTGGTCTTAAAAAGTTCTAAACTGTTTATGTAAAGAACTTATGTTCCACCTTCCACTTATGATGGATGGATGGTTGGATACACAGATAGACGGATGGATGAAAAGTATCTATTTACCTTGGGATTGGCAAGATAGCTTCATAGGTGTAGAACTGCAGCAGGATGTTTCTGATGCCTTCCCCTGATTGAACTCCTCTAGGTTCTCCAGCGGTGATAACTGCAATAACACACAGCTTTTCTCTAAATTGTTCAACAATAATGTATATCATATTTATTTTTAATAATAAATAAATGTTTTGGTAATGTTCTGGCCCAGGAACAAATCAGGATGCAGGGGCCGAAGCGAAATTTGGTTTTGGGGTCCTCTAGTTCTGCTAACAATGTGGACTGGCTGCAATCAGCAGTCCGATCATTAGATCATTCACACACCTGCTACAAACTTATTGGATCTCTGACAGTGCTGTTTACATTATATACATGTATAAAATAGGATACATGTATTGGCCAACTGATTTATCGACCAGTTGATTTCTGGGCGCCGATTTCCTTAATTTTGGGGGATGATGATTGGCCGATACTTACATGTGAAGCCCATCTTATCCCCTAATCTTATCTTCGTCAGCACAGATTTATAAATCAGCCTCTGTCTTCTTCTGCTCTGCAGTGAGAAGTTTGACTGACAGACTGGCCCAACAGGTCAGGTCTGAACATTTGCAGTTAACAATATTCACCCCACTGTTGCCAACTCAGTGACTTTCTTGCTATATTTAGGAAGATTTCAGACAAAAAAATTCTTATCAGTTAAAATCAAAATTGCAGGTCAAGCTTTTTAAAGATCAGTAGCCAGGGATAGGCCAGAAAACTGCAATCGGTGCAGCCCAACTTAAGATGGAATACATACACATACATTCATGGCATTCTTTGATTAAATAAATTCCTCTTAAGCTTTACTCCAATAGCTAAAATTTTAATTTACACCACCAGGTGAGTCTTTCTTCCCTGGAATGTGGATTGGTACTGGACTGATTCTGAGCCTTCAAATGATTTTAACAGAAGTTTCACATAACTTACAAGTTGATGTAAAAATAATGTTTGTTTTAGCTACAAAATTATTATACTCAGCAGCAAACAACATATGCTCAACTTACTACAGCATAGAGTAGTTCATCGATGTAGCAGCTATATAGCCTGATGTAAAAACATTTTGCTAGACAATATCAAACATTGAGAAGTTTTAATTATTGTCATCAAACACGTGTTTTGAAGCCAAAAATACCTCAGAAATATACAGAGCCAACCATGATAATCGACTCATTTAAAGTTTAAACTCAGTTTCACACAAACACAAAGACATAAATGTCTGGCTGTTGAACTGGACCGTTCCAGTTAGCTATCAAGCAAATTTTCTATTAGCAGCTTTAAAATTTTTTTACATTACATTACATTACCAAGGCACATTAAAACAAACCTTTATCTTGGCTTTTTTCTATTCTTCCTCTTTCTTTTCTCCCTCCCTGAAGAATAAGTTATTTTTTGAGACATTGTTGTGCTTACTTAACTTCTGGCCGGAGCTTTGGATGTTTGGATGCGCTCTGCTCATTGCACGGCAGCTCATGTTACCGGCGAAGCGTGCAGTACCTACCGCGGCCACCAGGGGCCCCCAAGAGCAATTTTGTTTTTTATTTCTATCAATAAAATAATAATTTCTACATACATTATCAAATATATATTATTGTAAAAACAAATCACTTAATAGTGAAATCGTGTGTTTTTGATATTATAATGACATAGAAATTAGTACTAAAAAAAAAAAAAAAAATCAGTTCCCTAGCTAAACATGCTGCTCCAGTTATCCAGTTAATAGTAATATAAAAAATAGAATTACATAAAATAAAATTGTACAAAGTGTTTTATTTCAACTAAAATTTTTAAAGATAAAACTATATGACAGAGAAAGATCTGTCCAGGAAAACATGCCCTGCAGTTTTCATAATCCTACTTTGTTAGAAAGTATAGAAATGTTCTAGATAGCCTTTGGGGGTTTTCTCAAAGAAACTATACTCAAAGTGTTCAACTGCATACCTGCCTTCGGCACCATTACTCTGAGTCAATGTTGGTAGTGGTTTTCTATAGAGTCAACACTGCAACGCTTTTTAAAAACCTTGATTAACCAGGAGACTTATTGAAAACAAATTCTCATTTAGAATAATGAAATGCAGGTTATTTCTGTGATTTTCGTACTATGACAATAAACTTCCACTATATGTTAAATAATCTGAGTTTACCAGGGAAGAATTGTTAAGACCAGTGGTGCTACTGAAAGTCTGGGAAAAGCAGTGGGGTGCAGCCTGAAACAGGGATGAAGAAGATCTGCAGGTGCTGATGAGGTCCGGAAGGCTTGTGGAGGGAAAGAGTTCAAAATCCACTTTTGACTCCTCCTGCAGGGACACGAAAAAAACATGCATATTACATAGAAAAAAAATCCATGTGTATTTTGTATTTTGAACACAAAAGCAGATGATAAAGATTCCAATGAATTTGAAATGTGAAGTTCTGCTCTGGGGATGACTGTAGAAGTAGCATTACAAACAGTTTGCAATGAAACATGCCCTGGAGAGTGGCCAGTGATTTTTTACTGGCCACTCAGACATTTCACCAGCCAGTGTTTTTTTCTTTCAATTACAAGCCCCACTAGTACAAGCAAATGACATAAAACACATGATTTATTCTTAACTCTGGGCTGCACAGTTGGTAGAGCTGTTGCCTTGCAGCAAGAAGGTTCTGGGTTCGATTCCTGGCCC